TTCAGATAATTAGTTCAGATAAACTCCAGTATCTTCAATCTAATATCTACTTACAAAAGTTTGTCTGACCAAAGAACAATTTGGGTAATATTTTCACCTATAACCGTTATTAAAGTAGCTATTTCAGTTCAGTTGTTCTAATAATTGAAAAGTTTCACATAGGCTAACAGCATTGTTTACTTTCATAACAGCATAGTTTAACTCATAACAACACGGGTAACGGACCAATGAGGTTCAAAGATTAAGAGAGAAGAAGTAAAATTGTAATGATTCGAACTTCACCTAATCAGCTGTTCAGTCCAATTTAATTGGCGAGTGGTGCAATTTAGTGTTTGGTACAATGTTTCGTTCCATCACTGTCAGTGGCAATGAGAGGTTACAAACGAAAAATAATCTCTTTTAGAAGTTGAGTACCGTAGTGACTTTTAGTAATTAAAGCACTGTCGTAGGTAAAGTAGTGTACGCAACTCGCGTAATTAGTGTTAACGACACTCGTAGAAGTTTTTAAGGCACTCGCCAAGGCTCGTACATTAAACTTTCTACTCATGTCGTTAACACTCTTTACGCAATCGTTTCTTAAACTACTATAACATTACATTTTTTTGTCAGATTACATAAACATTTTGTTTCGGTGGTTAAAAATACTCAACGTTAAATACAAACATATTTACAGAATGAAGAGGTGCAAAATCACTCAGCTGAAGCCCTCATGTTTGTGCTTGTATCAAAATCAATTAAGAACCACTGTTTGAAAAATCTCCCGATAATGTGCAAACTCCTTCGATGTGCTCAGGTATGTATACCTTAACGTCTCAAATTATTCAACTCAGTATAGTCAATTAATTCAAGGTTTGTCAGTCATTATTCTGTGGACAGACAGTTTCAATAATACTGCAATACATTCAGTGTAAGTTTCTAGATCTCTCTTGTGCTCTTTAATCAGAATGTTTACCTTTCAATCCTGAAAAATGTTAGCAATTTGATGGATTCAAAACTGGACCCAGCTGTCCTTGATCATTGGGCTTTTAATAAATGGCCCTGACTAATGAAACAGCTGATCTTAGTCAGTAATCACAGTTATAATCTTATCTATCAGACATGCTCACCATAAAATACTCAATGGTGTTGGTGTCGTAGAAACTAAATCTCTTAATCTTGTAGGTTCTGAAAACTTCAAAGCAACAGAAGTCAGCAAGATGAACAGTATGGCAATCTTAATTCTGGATTTTATTATCATTTTGTATTAAGATAAGGACACAACTGGCCATATTCACAAATAAGAATTAAGAGTGGAATGAAATGCCTTGTGCAGCTTTGTTGCTGATTAAGACCAGCTGTTTCTTAAGCAAGGAGGAAGGACCATTATTAAAAGCCTCATAAATCTACTCCTATCCTTTCTCTCCCATATTCTCAGGCAATAAGCCCTTTCTCTTCAAACCTAAAAGCCTCATAAAGGTAGACTGCTGAGTGCTGTGTAAAGTTTTAAACTACCAGAAAGCTACTGACCTTTCCTCTAGACAGAACCGTCAACCTTTTGTATACCAGGCAAGCAACCACTCAGCTGTTATCTGATTTATTACTGAATTACTATTACTGATGTTAACCAGCAAATTATCAGTATTTCAGAGCACCAGGCTTGCAGATGAATGCACTCAAAGGACTGACCTGTTTGGCTGAACATCCTCAGGCCAGAGAGTTTCTGGTTCACAAAATAAACGAAATTGAAGCCATCAGAGTCGCCAACCAACTGGTGGACAGCCATAAAAAGATCCTTCTAACGACCATAAGAACAGTAATATAGATTGTTGGGAGAAAAAGTCAAAATTAACAATAAAATTGCTAGAAGCGATATTTACATAATTGAAAATTGAATTATCCTAATGTTTATAGGGTGGGAGCTTTAAAGTTTTAATTCACTAAATCTTACTTCAATTTTAGTCTCTTCAAAAATTTGTTGTTGCTAGTAAATTAGCGTTATTTAATTTTTTGTACAAACGATAATAAATTTTTGTATAAAAAAACGTTTTAGTAAAATAATAAAAATATATAATAATGTATAAAAAGTTTTGTTTTTTAATAATTTACAAACAAATTTTTCAAAAACAAAAAGTTTTTAAACGAACTAAAAAGTAGAAAATAATCTATAAATATGTGGAGAGAATAAATACTTGTAAGATTTAAAACGAAAAACATGGGGTGCATGTAATAGATAATTTACAATTACCTTCACCTATTGAACTAATGTATTATCATCTATTGCATGCACCCCACGTTTTTCGTTTTAAATATTACAAGTATTTATTCTCTCCACATATTTATAACTATTTTCTACTTTTTAGTGTGTTTAAAAACGTTTTGTTTAAAAAAAAAATATTTATAAATTATTTTATACTTTTTAGTTTTTAATGTGTGTGGATGTTAAATCTATTTCAAGCATCGATATCAGATTAAGACAGAAGCATGTGGGAAATCTAAGGTTTATTTTGAGTTTTTTTTTTCATATAATTATGTATTAGATTGAATGTATGGCCAACCTACTAACTATAAATATATCAATCTATTTAATTTATTGTTTACTTTTACTTTATAGAATACTAAATAAATGACATTATTAACAAACACCTTTATATCTGCAATCAGATTGTTTATCTTTATTTTGAAATGTTTGTTTGTATAAAGAATCTCTTGGGAGCATAACCTGTACTTCTTAACCTCTGCTCTTCGAACTGTCAAATTTAAGTATTTACAGCTGACTTAAATTGATTGATATATTTATTTACATTCTTTTAAAATATAAACATGGAAAATTTGGAAGCCCATTAGGCGTAGCCAAGGCCACACTAAAAAAACAGGCCGTAATGCTCGTCAAGCATGAAGTCACAAAAGAAGACGGCAATGACGTAATTAAGGTTATATTTTGGTTTTCGATGAAAATATTAAAACAAGCAGCTGATCACAAACGGCAAACATTACGTCATTGCCGTCTTCTATCGTGATGTCATTCTTGACGAGCATTACGGCCTGTTTTTTTAGTGTGGCCTTGGCGTAGCCCAAGGGAAATATGAAAATTAAATGATATAATATAGCATTGTCATCCATTTGTGAGCTATGTTTCAAGTTTCAAGTCTCTAGCTCATCGGGAACTTCGTTTAAAATTGATAACAAAATTTGTAGGAAAGCGAGCTAATAAAAATAAGCCCATGGGGCGTAGCCCAAGGAAAATATGAAAAATAAATTATATAATATTGCATAGTCATCCATTTGTGAGCTATGTTTCAAGTCTCTAGCTCATCGGGAAGTATAAAAATTTGCAAGAAAGCGAGTTAATAAAAACAAGCCCATGGGCATAGCCCAAGGGAAATATGAAAATTAAATTATATAATATTGCATTGTCTTCCATTTGTGAGCTATGTTTCAAGTCTCTAGCTCATCGGGAAGTTAGTATAAAATTGATTGCAAAATTTGTACCGGACAAGAAAGCGAGCTAATAAAAACATCTTAAATTATTATGTATAAATTTAAAATACTCCTTTACATGATTTAAAATACGGCTTTTTAAGAATCCAAACTTTGTTAATTGAGATAGGAATTCAAACTTGTTTGATTGATTTCACGCCATAAAACTATTTAGATTACTTTTCTCATTTTTCATACTATTTTGGGCAAGCCTATTCTGTCTAAGCCCAAAGGAAATTTAAATCTCTGGGAAGGCAGCAACTCGAACCCGAAGAGATTTTTTAAATATTACTCCCAAGTCATGATGGTAATTTTATCAGACTTTAGTTAGTGATGTGGGCCGGGTAAATACCCAGTGGGTAGGTAAATATAAATTGGGTATTTACCCGGGAATTTACCCCAGGCCCGGGTAAATACCCAAAAACTGGGTATTTATAATTTTTATTAAAGTTAGAGAAGATTGAGATGTTTTTTTGCAATTATCACCCTGTAAGGATAGTAAAATGATGATAAAATGTGTTAAACAAAATTTCATATGGTCACTACTAGCATTTTACTTCTGGTTACAATCACCATAAATACCCAGGTCTGAGCATAAAGCATAATCGGCATAAATACCCTGGTCGCATGGTTGCACTGGTCCTGACTATGCTACTTATGATTTTTTAATTTCTATGATGGATGGATGAATTTATTTTATTGAAAGTGAAGAAAAATAATTTGCAAAGTAGCCTAATAATTATTATTTATAAATACATGAAAATTTAACCTAGTAGTGGCCTAGGCATGTAAACAACTTAAGAAAATAATTAAAATTCAATCTGTAGGATGGCAGGATTTAATAATATTTTTGTCCTAGATCTTTTGTTGGTATCAATAGTATCAAGATTAAAAAAAAACTAATTTCATAATAAACTTGTGATACAAAACATTTAAATCTATAGCACAATAAATCTTTCAAAACTATATTAAGTTAGACCAAAAAACAGGAGATAAATTTTTTTAGTAGGTTTATCCAAATATATTATTTTTCCAACTAAGCGGTAACACAGAAAAGTTTAATTACTTTTAGTATTCTGCCTTAGGTCTGTCTAGCCTTCCAAGCCATTTATACGATAAAATTTTTTAACTATCATAATTTAATAACAGTAAAAGTAGGTTTAGGTTCACTATTTCTCTGATGAGGTGTTGTCTTGATAAAAAACGAAACCCCATTCTTATTTAAAAACTTTGTTTTATTAAAAAAAGTGCTAAATCATTAAATAAAAGGTACTAGCAAAGCTTCAAGTTACTGTTAAAGGTGTTATAGACTATCCTAATTTTTCATGTAATGATAACAATAACATATTTAGGGGTGAATATAAATTAATTTCAATCGATTTCATAAATACCCAAAATACCCGGGTATTTATGGATTTTGGGTATTTACCCTGAGTTTTAAATACCCGGGTATTTTACATCACTAACTTTAGTGTTTAGTGTCAATGAAAAAATTTTAACAGGATGAAAAATACAAGGAGGAAAATATAACAAAAACAATAACCTCATAGCCAAAGTTTACTTGGAACGTATACATGGTATACATTATGTATTTACATGTCAGTGGCATAAATACAACAGAACCAAGTTTCCAATAAGCCCTTGTGATACCTTATTAACCCTGAAATTCTTATAAACAAGTTGAGTACTCTTGTTTTTTAAAGATAAAAATATTAATTATATGCCTGCAACATTAATTCGAGTATACACCTTGATCCTTACCTCATTTCTTAACAGTAGAAACTGACAGGATTGTTAAATGTTTAGTTTAGTTTTTTCGCTGTAAAATTTATAAACAACGAATGTCTTATGGGAATATCAATATTATTTAATTCAATGCTAGTCATTAAATTTATTCACAAACTGTAGATGTTCAAAAATGTCAAGTATAAAGAAAATATTAAGAGATTTAAAAATGAAAATACTTAAAAATTTACAAAAAAATATTTTTTAACAATACAACAATATGTAGCAGTAGAAAATGGGCTTGGAATATAAACATGAGCTAGAACAAAATTTCATATCGATTTCCCAATGTATCTATGACCCTGACATTCACGAGCCAAAATAAATACAGTATTTACAAACAGACATTTTATAGTCATTCTGCTTTAAGAATACGTGTTTAGGGGTACAAGCTTTGGGGTTGGGGTGCTAAAAAAGTTTGTTGCCCCAAATTTGTTTGAGTTTTTTTCAAGCTCTACAACTGAGGTAGATTGTCCTTTGAATTCATTGGCTAATTCATTCGGATTAATACAGAACATATTTTTACAAAAAAAAGGAAATAATATAGTAAATCAATGAAATTAAGAAAAATAAACCACCCTACCCAGGTAGTATATGCAATCAGTATTAGCGATATAAAAACTCAACTCTACTCCTCAAAATCAAGACGTTTAATTGAAAAATAAAAAAAACCAAGTGGTAACTGGCAGATTCAGTTAAGGTAAGTAATTTAGAGTTATTATATTAAATTATTGGCGTTATACCATTGGCAGTATGACAGAAAATGTTGCTATTCACCACAAGGATCAAAAGTGACTTTTTCGCCCTTGCTCATCTTGTAGACCAGTATAACCGGCACTTAATTCAAAAAGCTTTGTTCACTTTTGGTCCTTGTGAAACGTACTATTTGCAAAATAAATAAAAGACGACTAAACAACAATACAAGTTCAAAATGTAAATTAAAGATTTAAAGAACAATAAACAAAAAATATACCGATTACAATAAAACGTCAAACAGGTTTCAGCGAGAAGAACATTTTCCCTTTGATCGTTTGTCTATGAGGGTTGATTTTCTTCAACAGCTGTGTCATTACGTTCACCAGCTGTTCCGACGTAAGTCCCGTCTTCTTGCTCTTGAACTTTTGCAACAGTTCTGTAGTCGACATGGGCTTTCGCATCAGGTAACGTCGAACTGCGTCCTCTGTGATGCCACTATCAGAGCTGAAAAAACAAGTTAAAATGATAAACAACAACTAAATATGATTCAAAAGAAAATAGACAGAACTACTATCAAAAACTTATGATCTTGAGTCAAGATAAAAACACAAATCAAATTTCTGAACAGAATTTAGCGTCTCATAGTACAACCAACGCAAACCAATTAAAAAAAATGAAATACCCACACAAACATTAAGGTAGGTGAAAAGTAGCAAAATGTTCTACAATTACCTACTCAAAAAGAATTAAACAATCCCTCCAAACCAAAGACCCTAATAATATTAGTTCTAGGTTTGTCTTTTAGGTTGTAACACATATATCAGGCCCACTTTGTAATCATTATCATGCACAGTTTGTAATCTTACATACACAGTAGTATTTAATTTTGGTTGCCCTACTAACAATTTCGATAAAACAGATGCTGGGTTTGAAGGTTTTTCTCACACATTTACAGCAGAAAGAAATAAACGGTACCTGTTGAAATTGAGAGGAAGAGGTTCCAGTCGGGCTTTCTTAGCCGCAGAACCCTCCAATGAAGTGCCTGCTCTCTTATCTGCTTGAGTAGCTGGGCTGGTGCATCGAGAACTACTGGCACTAAGAAACAATCAATATATTAATAGGCAAGCATGTTTCTTTAAAACCTTTTTTCTCAGCTCGTGTGCATCATAGGGAAAGTCTACACACACTGTTAGAAAGATGTTTGCCTTTAGATGTACAGAATCCCTTTATAAATTAAAATATAGACTAAAAAATAAGCACAAAAAATGAATTTAAAATTTTAAAAAATAACATGGGCCTTATGGGTTGTCATGCTGGTGACAAAATATAAAAGTATAAAGATAAAACAAAAACCAATGGAAGAAATTACAATCACATATTTTATTTACAGTGAGGTGTGAAAATAGAGATGTCTGTACATTACAAATAACTACTAGTGAATATTAACTTAGACAATTGTAACTAAGTAATCACACCTTTAAAGTAACAACTTTGATTTAACATTAGAATGTCATCTATTTATCAAGTACCTAGGCTGTTGGACAAAGAGTAAAACTTAATTACCTTCGCAGTTGAAACAATATGTTAAAAACTAGTTTTTGTAATATAGCACTATCGTCGGCTTCAGGTACTCGTAAAGTTGCTTAGTTGGAAACATCAAACACAACTACAAACAACAATCACAGTGAACTACAAACACAGAAACAATAACATGAAGCTGCTGACGGGGGGTTTTTTAGTAACAAAACATGATCTGAACCTTTTTTTAGCGAATTTCCCATATAGGGAATAAGCTATTACCATAGGTCTCATGGTAAGACCTAGACCCGGGACCGATTTACTTTTTCGTTTTGAGGTCCCCAGAGACCAAAAACACCATCCGTTCAAATTCATATATATATATATATTTATACATGTGTCCGTTAGCGCGATAACTCGAGCAAAAATGATCTGATTTTGATGAAATTTGGTACAAACCTGTAAACCTACATTTATTCGAACGAGTTTGCGAACCAGCATAATCGGACCATGGGAACTGGGGTTTATGGGGGGTTTTATGGGGTAAAAATGGGGTTTTCCCATTTTTTACCCTAAAAACAAAAAAATTTGTAATTTCTTTCTCAACCATTTTGTAGAGCTTAGAAAAAGAAATAATTTAGTATATTGAAGCGCTGTTGTATGCCTAACGGTCACGGAGAAAATTTAAAAAAAGTGTAATTTAAAATTCCCATGTTATTCTTATGGAGAAAATGAAAACTGTTGTAGTTTACTTGTTTAGGGATATATTGATAAAATTTGGCAAATTTATTTATTTCATCCTATACTATTGACATATGGTCAAAAACACTTTTTACCTTCCCCGTAGCAGCAAACCTAAGCACTTGTTAATTCTAATGTTATTTAAATTGGGAATAAATATGTCTTATTTATAGAAATGTTTTAGTAAAAATGTAATCAGACAAGTTGAAATTCGCTTAGTCTGCAGGTTGGCTGCGGCGGGGGTATTTTGTTATATGACGGAAATTGTGTAATTTAGCCTTACGTTAGACTTAACTATTGAACATAACTCCTTATAAGTTTATAGTAACATAGGGTACAGAGGTCCAGATTTTAAGGAGTGTTGTTGAGATTTTTCCTGGTCCAAACAATTGTATACAGCTATAGCTTTTGCAAAAATTGTGTTTCTTCAGGGCACTTATTCTCATTAAGGTAAAATGAGAAAAACCAAACCATGTGATTGAGAAAAATGTCTTGTATTTGTTCTGACAGGAATACCCGACACATGTCAAAAATGTTAACACACCTGTTTTGCTGAGTTTTCGCTTTGTTATCAGCATCAGAATCTGAACTTTCAGCATTGAACTCACTCGATGACTCTGAAAAAAATATTAAGCAAAAATATTACTTTAATGTATCAGTATTATAAATAAATTAAGTTGTAATTTTTTTAGAAGTTCTTCGTGATCAATTGTTAGTATTTTTTAAGCTTTTATATTGATGTTGCTAGTTGTTATTCATCTATGTGTTTTTCCTGTCCAAGAAGTATGAAAGCTAAATATTTGTGTTGTAGTCTATTGGCTAAAAAATGGCAAAGACAAAGGTTAGTTGAAAAATATGGAAACAAGCCTTTTCTTTAAAGCAAAAAAATCATGCATTTTTAGTTAATAAAATATGTGTAAATCTTTCACCAAATAATAATGAACAGCAAAGTGTTAAAAATACCATCCAAAACTGTTCAAGCCATTTACCATCATTTTCATCCGCCTTGGCCTTGGCTTCTTTTTCTTCTTTCTCCTTCTTGGTGGCTTTCTTCTTCTTCTTCCCACTTTTCTCCTTATCCTCATCCTCCTTGTCATCTGCTTCACTTTTCTTCTCCTTGTCTTCCTCATCCTCCTCGTCCTCTTCGCCTGAACTCAGCAGACGACGCAAGGCACTCTCTTCAGCAACTCCTTTCATATCTTTGTCGATCTTGGCTTCATGGTCAGAGTCACTAGAAAAAGATAGCAAGTTAGGCACAATCGTTCAGTGAAATCCGATGACCAGGGATCAAAACAGAAGTTTAACTTTTACCTTAGATTTAATTCAGAAAATAAGCAAGACCAAACCCCCAATAGCTTTATTTTGACATGAAAAAATAACAATATCGATAATGTTGCGTAAAGCGAAAAATAAAAGTTTGAAAATGTAAAGATGCATTGTTAAAAGAAGAGACAATTTTGGTGATGCACCAACTTTAAAAAAACTGGATTGAAGTGAAGGTCACAAGATGGCGGCTTCATCATTTTGGTTAGATGTCGTCTTGAGCAGTGGGGAGTAGGCGGGAAATTTGAACGTATTTTATATTTCAACTTAAAATTAATTCTTCTTTTTTTATATATTAAAATTAAAGAAAACTCTTCTTCATGGGGTTATAATAAATAAAATAATTACTTCTTCTAACAGATAAAGATGATTGATATATTACCTATCGGAAGAATCGGAGATGTAGTCTAGTTCTCGACCTTCTTCATCTCCATCATCACTTTCCTCCACGGCAGAATCATCAGAGCCGCCCTTCTTCTTCTTCTTTGCAGCATTTTTCTTGTTTTTATCATTCTTCTCTGTGAACCAAAACAGCATAAAACAACTAACTTAAAATAGAGAGGGACTTTTTTTATCAAGCAACCAACTCCTTCATTGGGGAGTGTTGCACGATGTCCAATGATATAAGTCAGTGAACGACGCTAAAATATAATTTTTGAGCTGTCTTATGACATCCAATATAAACTATTCGACTGGTTCACGACGTCCAAATCTCATCATGTCCAAAAGTAAAGTAACTACAAGAAACAAGGTCTTTCTACAAGCTAAGGATGTCATGGGATGGGTCGTCGTGCAAAAGCACACTTTACACTCCTAAAATAGTAGCAGTTACACCACGTCCAGAGCCGCTGCCAGTTGCACAACGCCCAATAGCTCAGCGCTGTTGCAAGATGTCCAGAGCTCTTTTGAGCTAATAGACGACATGCAACTGGCAGCGTCTTTGGCCGTGGTTTTAGAAGTGTAAAAGTGTGCTGTTTCATGACGACCAATCTCATGACGTCCAGAGCTTGTAGAAAGACTATGTTTATTGCAATTACTGTACTTTTAGAAGTGGTGAGATTTAGATTGCAACAGTCAAATATTTTATATTGGACGTCTTTGAATATATTGGACGAAGTTGACTTAAACAGAAAACAATTTGTATACATTATAGGACTTAAAATGAGATCACAGTAACTAGATATTATTGGCTACCACGACTTCAGCTGGTAAAACCGTTGATTAAATTTAGAAAGTTTAGCTAGGCCTAAAATGTTTCATTTTCACCTACTCTCTGAATGGGACCTAAGCTAGCACGAGCTATTTTTCAATGTAAGCTTGCTAATTTTCCTTTCCAAAAATCCTATTTTTAAAATCTTATTTCAAATGATTTTTTATTTTTTATTAGTTAAAATGACTGAAATGTATGCAATGCAAGGTTCGATAAACAACTTGCTCAGAAAATACCTACACTTAAAATTATACTTATGCCAATGCTCCATAATGTTAACATATTCTGATATTATTACCATAATCTTGATATATCAGATTATGGTAACATTATGGTAATAATATCAGAATATGTTAACATTATGTTTGTCTTGGCAATACGAGTAACCAGGTGATGTCTCAAATAAGCTCATGGCTGTTCCCTTGACGTAATGTCATCCCACTGCTGCCTACATCACCTCTTTTCTCACCAGTCTACACCATGTCCGGTCAACAACTTTGCACCCATGCGGCCCTCTGAGTGGTTTTAAAGGAAATCGTTAACCAACCCCAATTTACGAGTACAGTTCACCAATTACAAGAGTTAACAACCAGTTAAACAAAAAATAAAAAGTCCCTATAGGACTTATTGTTACATACGTTTCTTCTTCTTCTTTTCTTTCTTCTCCTCGTCATCGTTGTCTTCATCTTCCTCCGAATCATCGTCATCAGTGTTCATCCAGTCATCCATGTCAGATATCTTGAAGTCTGGTGAAGCAACAAACTATTATAGATTCTATAATACATAATTAGTAAGAGGATGAATGGGGGAAACGGACTTTCGGCCTGCGCTGCCCCTGACTCGGCCTGGGCTGCCCCTATTATGTGGTGTAAAGGGTAGGTTTCTCGGGAGTAGGTACCTGACCTGAGCTTGCGCTTTACCCACTAAATCCCAGGATTCTCCCGGAAATACCTGTGGGGTGATAGACAGGGTCGTCGACACAGGAAACAGGGCAAATAGCATTGGAGCCAACCTTCTAGGAAATACATTACTATTGTATTAGAATACTGCTGTAATCTTTGGCATTAACGACTCAGGAAGTGATGGTGTCTATGGGTGGTGGATATCCGCCCCAAATAAACCTATTTTTGTTTCAAAGTTTTAGATTCAAAAATACGCAAATTCTTACTACATATAATAAATCTTTTATGCTTCTTTTAATACTGTATATGATAGGGGTTTTTAGTACTGTATTATGACAAATTTAAATGTAAAATACTTGCAGTTATTTGAACTTGAATTCATTATTTCTTAGGCCGCGAACGCTAAATATGTAACAGATGTTCGTGTACAGTAGTTAAACAATAAAAAATAGTGCATTTCATCACTAGAGGGTACCTATTTAACAGTACTGTATTACGAAACATTTATATGTAAAATACTTGTAGTAATTTGAACTTGAATTCTTTATTTCGTTGGCCGCGAACACTAAATATAAAAGTAACAGATGTTTGTGTAAGACAGTAAAACAATACAAAATAGTGCATTTCATCACTAGAATGTGTCTATTTAACTTTACTGTATTACGAAACCTTTAAATGCAAAATACTTGTAGTAATTTTAACTTGAATTCTTTATTTCGTTGGCTGCGTACGCTAAATTTTGGCCGTAAAAGTTTAATTTTGATACTTACTTGTTCTGTGTTATTTCACCTAATAACAACAGTACATTTAATTCCATCCAACATAATTTTTGTTGGAAATGCACAATGTTGAATTGTGTGTTCCAATTATTAAATTGCAAATTACATTAATTAATTGTTGAATGAAATGCATAGGGGCATTTAATTCCATCCAACTGAATTTTCTGATTTTGTATATAACAAACTGTAAATTTCTTTTATTGATTGTAAATATCTACATCACTAGAAGCCTTTTTGTAGTAATTGATCATTTAAACACTGCAGTTACAAGTTTAATTTTAATATTTTGTTGTACCAATACACCAGACTGTTAATTAATATATAGGATTATATTTTAAACGCATTTTTATAACATACATGTCTCTTGTTACATTGGTTTAGTTTTTAATTTTGTATTTTATACTTAGTGTTTATCTGGTTTTTACATAACAAATTGTTATTTACTTTCACTTTGTATTTGCTTGTAAATAGGACACTACCAGAAGTTTTTTAGGTAAACATTATTTTAAACACTGCAGTTTTTTGTTTACCTTACACCAGACTGTAATTTAATTAAAGTAGGCCTATCATTATTTTTATACTACGTCTCTTGTTTAAATTATCTGAATGAATGTACTACGAATGTACATTCAGCTGTTAAACTACAATTCACACTTTAAACTGAAACAAGAGGTTCTACCCGTGAATTCACGGGTGAACAGAAACCACCATTAAATTAATTTAATAAACTTTGACTTTATATTTCATTTAAAGGGCCCAAGTTCGAGAAATTTTCATGTGAAAGGATGTTAAAGGCAGTGGAACCTTCATACCTTACGTCCTAAGGTTGGCCGAGGTTGTACCTGAACACGCAGCTCTCTTTCACGACATCTTTAATATTTTTCAATGAAATTGCGATCTGTTAAAGATCGGTGACAACCTCTTGGAACGAACAACATACATGGTTTGTTAATCTCATAGTCATCATGGTTCGAACACCTTTAGTTACTCACTTGTAACAAACAGCTATAAATAGCTTCACTGTCCATTCACCGCGACTCTTTTAAGAACGTAAAAGTAAATAATAAAATAAGTAAACAAAAATGTAAACAAACAAACTATATTGTCGATTGCATTGGCCAGCTGTTGTTCACTAAATTAATCAAATAATAACTTCCAAAACATGCAAGGCGTAGCCTTTTGAAAATCAGTCTGTGGGGCAGAGCCCTTAGGGAATTCGTCCATATCAATACTTTTCGGCAAAATCTACACACTCTAAGCTTCATTTTCATATGCCATATGCCTATATTTTTATTTGGTAAATGGCCTTAACCGTTTACATAAAATTTGATTGTATCACTGTAATAATATAATATACTGTTGTATGGATAATATTTTTGTACTATTGAGTGGATGGATTCTTAGGGAGTGTTGCACGACGTCCAAGTGCCACGACGTCCAATAATATTTTTCCAGTGCCACGACGTCCAAAACATAATTTTTTAGTTGTTGCACGACGTCCAAGTGCCACGACGTCCAAAAGTACAGTAACTGCCAAAAATATAGTCTTTCTACAAGCTTTGGATGTCGTGGCACTTGGACGTCGTGAAACAGCGCACTATATAATTGTAAAGACGTATCATTTGCACCACGTCCAAAGCCTCTGCCAGTTGCACGACGTCCAAGTGCCACGACGTCCAATCAATATTTGACTGTTGCACGACGTCCAAGTGCCACGACGTCCAAAGTGCCTTCACACTGTGAACACTGTTTGCCGACCTCAGTGCATACAGTTCGCATTGCAATTATCTAGTCAACTGTTTGAAAGTTGTCAACCGCTTCGTCTTCGATTAATGTTTAAATTATTCAATATTCAATGGTTCTAATTGAACTAATTATTGCATTAGCTTAAATTTTTTATATGTAAAATAAATACTATGTCACCGTAAAATGGAATGATGCAGTATTTCTGTTGTTATGATTGCATAATTGATTTCTACAAAATAGAGCTATGTCATAGAAACGAAATAAATAAATGACTACCTACACTATTCACTATATTGTATGATTAATACAATAAATTAATCACTAGCCCAAAAGTAAATATGGTTGGTTTAATGTGAGTAGTGGTAGAATTCTAAGTACTGCAGTAGAATAGAATTGTCATACTATATCAATTGGTAGCAAATTTACTGGTAAGATAAAATGTATGCACAGTTTTATAACAGCTGTAAGACTTCCCATTTAAGTACCGGTATCATTGAAATTGTATAACTTCCATTGAACAGAAATGAGATAAGTAGATATTGATACACAGATATATGAATTTTCATACACTTATAATATGACGAATTCAAAAAAGTTTTATCCGTCAAATGTGCTAAATATTATGTAAACTATCTACTTTTTAAGCTATAATGATAAGCCATATTTATTTATATTTTCCCATTTGTCGGTATGGAACTGTTGTGATAGCTTTTTGTTTACAGTGCAAACCATGGATGTATGGATGGATGGATGGATGTTTGTGACAAGCAAACGCGAAAAATAGGCTACTAAACCGACAAGGTTGAAATTTGGTATGATGATAGATGACATCCCCGATTAACACATTCTTACCTCAAAAATTCTTTTAGTCTCCGCCCCGGTGGCTCTGGCTCTGGACTTTCTCTAGTTAACCTTATGAGAATTCATATTAAAAAAAATTAAAGAATTTTGTCAGCCGTTTCAACTGTACAAGTTGGTTCTATGATATTAGAAAGCATTAAAAAGTTATAAGGCTTGCCAAACAGGGTGCAGCACTATTATGTTGTTTGTTTGCATTAATGACCACAGCTAATTTGAACCAACTAGCAAAAAAAGTTGTGGTACACAATGAGAACTTTACTATTTCCATGGTCTAGGTGCAAGAACATCAGGACTATGGTAGATGTGTGCCACACAATAGGATACCGTATAAATTAAGAGACCAGTTTTTTTTTTTTTTTTAATCGTGTCCTCTTCCATAACTGCAATAAGCATTTATACTTATATGTCAACCCCGTACGAAGGACGGGTACTCTGCTAGTAACACAATAATACAAATACAGTATACTAATACAATAATACTGTAGGTTTCCGTAGTCTGTAGCCATAGGTTCATCTGAACTGTCAATCAATTCTGAGAAATTCACAGTTGTAAATTCTTACTAGTCTTTTTCTAAGTTCACGTCGCACTCGCAATTAGTTCGCATGTTTTATGTATAGTGGGGGAGATACAGTAAAAAAATATAAAAAAACTGCAAATTGTGATAAGAGCCCTTTGGTGGGAATGTAGTTTAAGGTTAGGCAATGCAAATAAGATGGAGAGGCACCAACCAAAGTTGCTATAATCCAAAATGGCGGCGATTTTTTTTAAATGGCTGCCCGTATTTTGGGTTTTATATATTTTCTTTTGATATACATCATGCAAAATGGTGTTTCTGATCATTTTTTTTAGTTTTAAGGTATAAGGTAAGTAAATAAGTTAAAGAATAATGTAATAAACGTAAATTTATTTACAGAAAATTTATATCACCAAATAAAAAACACGCTATATTTTATAAGTTGCAGAATATTTCTACCAACACCATTTTTAGCTAATTTGCCTAGTTTACATAATTTTAGCTAGTTTACATAATATTACCGTAGGTGGCATGGTAAGACCTAGACCCGGGACCGATTTATTTTGTCATTTTAATGTCCCCAGAGGCAAAACACACCATTCGTTCAATTTTTTATATATGTATATATTTGTGTGTGTGTGTCCGTGAACGCGATAACTTGAGTAAGTTTTGTCCGATTTTGATGAAATTTGGTTTAAAGGTGTAAGGCGAAATAAACTTGTAAGAGTTCGCGAACCAACATGATCGGACCACAGGAACGGTGTTTTAAAGGAGGTTTTATGAGGTAAAAATTTCGTTTTATAATTGTTGAACCTCAAAACATAAAATTTTCCAATTTATCACTATACCTTATTAAAGAGCTTAAAAACAAATAATTTAGTATATCAAAGTGTTGTTGTGGGGTTATTGATAACAGAAAAAATAAAAAAAATTAAAATTTAAA